GACACTGAAAATCAGTTACAAATTACTGTGACTATTCAAATTTATCCTCTGAGAAAATATTTCTGATGGGAGTCTCTTCCATTTATTCCTAACTTCCCAGCATTCCAAGCTTTCCAAGATTTACATCTTAAAATTGTTCCTCTGAGTTATTAAATTGATGTACAAAGCCGATGAGCATATTTTTTCTAGTAATAATGAACAACAAGCGCCATTTTCGGCTTAGCGTGAGATGGTGCATCATAAAAATAGCTCCTTTCTTTGCTTGAAGCTGTGTCGTGACGTTTTAGACACACACACACAGACACTTACATGAAGTAGAACAAAGGAGCTAAGCAAACACGCTGGTCTCATCATCTGTCCTCTCTTCATCCACTTGTTCTCCTCTTATTTTCCTCTCTTTATCACCATGTCAGTTGTATAATCTGTTGCTAAGCAGATATTAATCGTGTCTGCCACAAAAGCATTAATATGAATGAGGAGCAGAGGCTCATGCAGCACACAAGGGCTAAAGAACAGAGGCTCCTGACAAGGATGAATCTGCATCATTACACATCAAAAATGTTACACCGTTGGATTAAAAGCTTTTGGTTATCTTTTACCAAGAAGAGTGAACAACATGAAAATTAAAGTTTGAATTACTTTATTTGTCAGCTGCACGTGGCAAGAATAAAAGAACACCTATGTTCTTGGACAGGATCCTCAGTCATTTAGATAAGGTACAGATCAATAAAAAAGAAAACCAATATACACATCTTATAAAACAAGATGATAAAAATACAGAATAAATAAAAGCACAATGATTCAAAATACATATAAACAGATGGGTGACAATGATGTGATTAAGAGAAATCTCTGAAACATGCCATGTGTGTTTGCCTTGGATGAAGATGAATCCTATTATTTTCATTCTTGAGAAACAACTGAGTGCACTATGGACGGAGGCTGTGATGCTAGAAGAGACTATTTCCATCACAACAGAAATGTTTCATCAGGCCCGAGATGAACACTCATGACAGCTTAGCATAGATTTACAGTAACCACACACACAC